ACGACACTTAGATATACAAATAAATATTATATTATACATATATATGAAATTCAAATAGAGTTTTTGGTTCAGATAATAATATGATGTAGAGTAAATTATAATATTATATTTTAAACGTTAAAAAATTATATCAATATGTATTTAAAATTTAATAAATATAATCGATATTGATAATCATAATTAATATGATGTGTAAGTCAATATAAATATATAATATAGATATAAAATATTAAATAATATTATTTTATTTATAAATCGCCAACCCTGATTCGTTCCACTATTGTTATTACAAAATGACCCATCTCAATGTCGAACTGTTCCCCGGACGCGCCCCACGTCCACAATAACACCATTCTAATACATCTTACAGAGATTTATTATTATTATTATTAATATTGTAATATATAAAAATACATACAAAATGTTTATATCGTTATTGGTTGAAAATTAGTTTCTTTATCTACGTGTAAGTATTATAGGGTTTCATAGATATAAAATTTTAGTTCTATAGTTTAAAATATTTCTACTATAGAAGTATGTATAAAAACTTTTTTTTTTTTTTGACTATTCCTTCATTTACAACTTCTTTATGGTCACCCCTTCATTGTGTCTGTAGTCTGTGGTAATTTTGTAGTATAATCTGTGACGCCTAAGATGACAGACGAGCGTTAAAAACGCGCCGAAACATCAGTTAGAAGCTATCCCTACTATAATATTATAAATGCGAAAGTAACTCTGTCTGTCTGTCTGTTACGCTTTCACACCTAAACTGCTGAACTGATTTTAATGAAATTTTGTACAGAGATAGAGTTGACCTTGAGAAAGAACATAGTATAGTTTTTATCCCAAACTTTTGAAAAGTTCTCTTGGAAACTCAATATAACCGAATTCCACGCGGGCGAAGCTGCGGGCGGAAAGATAGTTAATAATAAATGAAGAATTTCAATTCTAATAACTTCCACTATATACTATATTCATACCGAATGTATTTAAATGAAGCTTATTTATTACTATTGGTAGTAAAGTCACCACACCCGCAGGATTTTAAATCCTAAAATTACACGATTTTTCCCGATTTTGTCTATTAACCCTTTAAAAATGTTATATTCATATGTAGTGTTGCTAACAATAATTATTGCACATAATTATAAAATATCTCTTTCGTTATTTATTCTTAACTTTTAATTTATATTTTACATGATAATAATACATAAATTATGGTTTTGTATGAGAATATCCAATAACAGTTAAATTGAATAAAAAATATGTCACATTTATTACATACATCAATACAATAAGAAACATTAAAATTGAGCAAACTGCTTCTATATACAGAATTGCTATGGAGTAAATTTCTGTATTGTAAACTACACTAGCTTTTGTTAGCGACTTTGTCTTTAAAAAAATGTATTTATTTTATAATTTAATACTTTACTACTATAGATAGAATACTCTAGAACTATAAATAAAAATTGTTTAGTTATATCTGAAAATCCTATTTATAATTAAATCAATACACTTAAAAACTTTTTTTAATATAGTATGATATTGGAGATGAAATAGAATTCAGTAAATTTTGTATTGACCATTTAATTGTTACATTACATACTGCATTTAATATTTTGATTATAATTACATTATGTATATAAATATATACTGTGATCTAATATCCAGTGACAAAACTTCTCATCATTAAGTGTAATCACGGTGCAGGTGCCGGGTCCATCGTTGTAGTGAAAGGAGCTTCAACAGTGCCTGGTACTTGTGACCCAGGTGTAGGTTTAAGGGACCCCTATCTAACGCACGTTAAACATTCACCTCTTTAAATTTTAGAATGTGCAGTGGGGAAGAAACCATACCATAGTTAGCTGTCTCAAACCAATTAATCCATCATATGACTGTTACTATTAATTAACACAAACAACTCAAGTCTCCGGCGTCGGGACGTGACGACCCCATCGCCCACTGGTGTATTCCGGTGCAATCAGTCACGGGGGGGAGGGCTGGGGGTACAGCCCTGGGAGTAAGACGGTCACGGATCTGGCAGGAGGCCGTCCGTGGCTGTCTTGGGGGGGAGGGGATACTCGGGTCTCTCCGGAGGCCTGAGTTCGCTTGTGGTCGGTCGGTTTCCTCTCTGTCTGCCGTCGGGCGCTTGCGCTCGTCGGTGGGTGTTTGGAGACTGGCCGCGTGGGCTTGGGTGGGAGGGGTAAGGGGTTAACCCTCTCGCGATTAAGCAAGCCCGCCAGGCGGGGGGACACTCCTGGTCACTTGGAGTGAGCCCTCGGGGGGGGAGGTGGCCGTTCGCGGCCCGCCGCCGGATCGTCGCGGATGCATGCTTCGGCGTTTCCCGTGGCGATCCACTTGGCGGCAACGGAGAGTGACCGCTGGTGTTTTAGTGGGTAACATGGGCCCTTCTGGCCGTGAATCCCACATAACCGCCTCTGTCTCCCCTAGACGGAGGGGTAGGTATAAAACCTTTCACCGCGATAACAAAAAAAAAAAAAAAAAAAAACAACTCAAGTCAACACTATATATCTCAATTTATATAACAACTGCATATTATGCAATATTCATCAAGTCACAGCTTCAATTATTTAATTATATTTAATTTCAAATATGTCTATAAATTATTATGTATATAAAATATGTATTTACTCAATTCTGGTTCGTCATCAATTTGCTACTATATAAAAAAGGTTTTTATGTGAATTGATTTAAATTTAATATAAATAGTGTTCTCAGTTATCAATAAACAATTTTTATTTTTAGTTCTAAAGTATTTTATCTGTAGTTGTAAGGTACATATTTACAAAGTGGATATTAATATGTATAGAAAAATCCAAGTTTTATTTATTAAAAATAATCTTAAAAAAATATTATTTTATAAATTTTAAATATAATTAATTCTAAAAATTTATTTATACCCTAATTCGAGTTAAAGTAATAATATATAATAATATAAATATTTATATATGGTGGTTAGAAAACTTAAATATCTAAATAAAGAAAATATATATACATTGAAAGCCACAAATAATAATTAAAAGTAGTTGTTTTAGATATAAAAATAATAATCATTATTTCGATACTTATACCAAGACAATTCTTTGTCCATATAATAATTTGCATCACATCGACGAGTTATCTTGTTGGTAGAAAACATACCAATATATGTAAATATAAAACCCATTCATATAAATTTTCTTTAGTTCATGTTAATAAATGCAAAATTATTATGTTCTTACATAAACCATAACATATAAAATAAGATAAACATATAAATATTTATTTATAATAATCAGTAGTATTACTAATTAGTACGAAATCAATCAATTTTACGATTATATTGCATCAAATTCTGTATGTTAATTACCTACTTTTAATATTTCATAATTCTTTATATAAAACTTTGACACTGAAGTTAATACATGTATTATTTTAAGTAAATCTATATGGTACATAGAGAGTATATAAATAAATATTAAAGGTGAAACATATATTCGACTTAATAATGTATAAAAATAGTAATATATCCATATAATAATAGCAAAACAAGTACCATGTGAAATGAACATCTGTTGACAAAATAACAAGTTACAACTACAGTAACGAATATTTTGTAACTAAACTAATCTAAAATAGTTACTAAAATACCCTTGGAAATATTTTCAGGTACATTAAATGGCAAGGAATCTGAAAACAGCTAAAACGATCGAACTCAAATGTTGATTTTGTAGTCCCGTCTCTAATGAAACAATTAATATAAAATATATCGAAGATGAAGTAATGTCCTGATAAAATTAAATAATTTTGCAAATTTTCTATAAATTTTAATCATAAAAAGTTGTTATATGTAAAAATTATAAAATGTATTAATAACAAATGTTTTGGTCTAAGAGACAACCCCGTCATCTGTTATCTCTCTGGAATGCATTTGACAAGTAAGATGAAAAAATACACGAACAAAGGCGTAACACTACGTTTAATGTAAATACAGACAAATTGTACTCACCCATATCTTATAGAAACTCACTTCGAACCACTATTTATTTGTATTTCAGACACAAACACTGAAAACATCACACAATAGCGGCCATTTTACTAACCTTGTACGCGATGTAGCCATATACAGAAAATACTATAATTAGTTAGTTTTCAATTCAATTTTAAGAACAAACTTTTAAGAGAATAATTTAAGAATAAGTAGTTAATAACAGTAGTTATTCAATTGATTAATTAATTTTTATCCAATTCATAAAACATACATCTTTATATATATAATTCTTCTGTGAGTGTGTATGTCACTGAACTTCTCTCAAACGACCGGACCGATTTTGATAAAATTTTTTGTGTGTTCCAGGGGATCTGGGAATGGTTTAGATTCACAATTTTGTCCGCTGGACTATGTTTTTTATTTAATTTTTAATCTATTAGTAGTTGTTGATACAAATGTTTTTTTTTTTAATTAGATTTGACAAGAAACTAATATGTCAATCATTTTGTCGCACTTCCAAAACACGGATATTTATGGCTTTAATAGCTAAACTCCAAAAATATAAATAAAAAAACGTAACAGATATTTCTTGATTAGAGAGGGATACGAAGTTCACCGTGTCTTCTAGTAACGTATATAAAAACCAAAACAAGTTTTTTTTTACTAAAAAGAAAAATTATTCCACAAAATTGTTATAAAAATTAATACACTAATTATTATAATATTATGCTTAGAATTAAATTATTTAACTTAAGTTTATGTAATTATTATAGACTATACATTTTTGAATATTTTGTAATTGAAAACGAACGAACTTCGAAATGTTGCCACAAACAACTACTGTTTTTCTTTTCTTGTCAACAGCTGTCAAAAAGGTACGGATTTAGTGCGAGTAAAAGAAATCAAATAAAATCGGCTACTCCACCTTTAATAACACTTATTGTAATGGTGAATTAAAAAGTTTAGTGCACGTTATAAATAATCTATATTATATTTCAGTTCCAAAATGGTACAGCGTCTTACATTTAGACGACGTTTGTCGTACAACACCAAGTCGAACCAAAGGAGAATGTGAGTATTTTTACGATAATTGAGTGTAGTAGTAATAGTTTTAAACTCATAAACCTCTACAATGCCTATTTGTTGTATAAATGATTTAATACATTAAATATCAGAACATATAAACTCTAACATAACCTATTATTTGTCGGCATGAATAACGCTTTCAAAGACGACTAAAATTATTTTGTCGACATTCAATTTACACATTTCTGTTTAACATAGTGTCGTCTTTCGTTAGGAAACCGAAATATTTGTACCTTTTATAACATTTGATTCGTAAGTTCTTCGACTGCTATCAGTCTGAGACATCTTTCATGTACAACTTTGTTTTGGAAATCTCATAATTGCCTCCATTAAAACTATCTGTTTTTATAAATTTATTATATTGTAATAGTTATAAATAAACCTAAAAATTATGTCAGTGTATGGCATAAACAAAGACAGTAAATTTGTAGTTCCATTTTAAACAATTGTTTCTACATTGTGCTCAAGGAGTTGTGTACAAATGTACTACCATTTTCTGGATACACACACAATTATGTTATACTCTCTTAGATATAACTGCATGTTCAAAATGAATATATTCAAGAAAGTGTTAGAATAATTTCTAGCCTCTGATTATATCTTTAGACTATAAGATAATTATTCTAACATAATGAGTCAATACCAAAAAAAGGTTTAAATATGTTCCAAACCATGAATACTTAAACTAGCATAACAAATTAATCAAATCTAGATCCCTTGAAAACTTTTGTACTAACTAATAAATGTGTTTAGAAAACAAGACAGAAGTTAAAAGGTTATTTTATGTAGACCTAACATTATTCCGGTATATTTCAATCCGACCAATGTTAAATCTGAAGTAATTGTTAAGATTTTCCATTATTTAATTACACTGTTTAACCAACACAAGTTCTTAAATACTTAAAATGTAGTATTGGATACCTTAACAAATAACGCTTTAAAAAATAAAATTTCTATAAATACAGAATTGTCATATATATTTCAAGGACTAAAACTAATTTTGTATAATATTATTTCCAGAGTAAGAACTCCCGGCGGTCGTCTTGTCTATCAATATGTTAAGAAGCCCAAGAAGATCCCGAGATGTGGTCAGTGCAAGAGCAAGCTGAGAGGCATTCAGCCCGCCCGGCCTGCCGAGCGCTCCAGACTGTGCTACCGTAAGAAAACTGTGAAACGTGTATACGGTGGAGTCCTCTGCCACAAGTGCGTTAAACAACGCATCGTCAGAGCCTTCCTGATTGAAGAACAGAAGATTGTCAAGGTCCTCAAAGCCCAGCAAGCCACCTCTAGACCCAGCAAAAAGGCGGCAAAATGAACTTAGGGTGTAAATAAAATTATAATAAAAACCACATCATGTTTTATTCAGTTAACTATCTTTTTGTTTTTTATTTAAGCTGTAGTTCAGAAATCTATTTTAAATTGAAAACCTTTTCAATTTTTTTTTTTTCTTATATCAATCCTTTTTATAAAGAAGAAAAATGAATGATGAGTATTCATAATACTGATTTGAAATCAAGCACAGCAAAAATGTTGTTCTAATGAATTATCTGAATTACCTCATCTTAAGATAAATTCACCAGGAATTAAAATATCCTGGGTCTAATCTGCAATGATAAGAATAATTTTCAATAACAAAATTTATAGTTATCCATTTATTAAAAGAAAATAATACTATGATATAGAGATATATTACGTATTTGTAATATTATTTTACGTTTATTCCTACCCTTATCTCCCACTCCCTGCATCTCTTAGTTTTATCCCACTCTGCAAATATTAACGTCAGAAAATATAAATAAAGATAAAAATTAGGGCAAAGAAAGAAATTTGAAATGATTTTTCTTACAATACCGTTTATAATGAAGTCTTGTAATTATATCATTTCGTATTATAAAATGTAAGACTTTCGCGAGTATTCATTTAAATGAAACTAATAATTTGTTTTTTTCAGAAACCGCATATTCCCTATGTTTCGGTTGCTAAAAGTATCTGAATATATTATTTAATCTTATGTCTCCTATATACATTTTGTATTTTCAAGAAATTTATAGCTTTTCATTTTGTTCGATTTTAAGAAGTTATTACTTTAAAAACTAAACTCTATATTAAATGTGTTTGTCTCCATGTAGTCTCTTTACCCATTTTAAACATCAAAGCACCAATAACATCAAATTAGAAATTGTATATTTTAATAGTTTAAAATGAAATAAAGATGAATAATACACTGAGAGCAACTTAGTGATCTCTGAACCTTTCAGCGGTTTCTGCACGATAAAAATAAGCATTGATACGGTCAGTCATTTTTCATAATTTAGTAATAATTTTTTTATTAGTATAATTTAAAGCATTGCTTTTAAGACATCATAATTTAGAAGATAACAAATCTACTAATTAATATTGCAGATGGCAATATTGTCTTTATTCCTCTGTCAGTAAGTGACAATATAAGAACAATCTGTTGTAAATTTATTATTGTGAAATAGTTTAACAATTTTACGTAACGTAAATATTGTATATATTTTTAATATTTATTACAAAGACTGTGATATAGTTAAGTTATATTTATATACAAAATGTCGAACCCCTGGAAAAAAGTATCTGAACCCACTAATACACAAAATTTAGCAGATATTATGTCTGAACAGTACGCCAGAGGCCTACAGATCAAAGAGGAGTTACGTTTTGCTGAACAAATATCAGATCTCAACCTGGGTACCGAAACCACAGAAGTATCTCCCGAAATACTCCGAGAAATTGAAGAATCGAGTGTTAAGGATTATTGCGACTCCGATGCCATTATTGCGAAAGTGCTTCAGTGCCAGTATGACAAAGCATATGACGATGAGATAAAAATGGTGGAAAAGAAGAAAAATGGTGAGGCGAAAGTATCTGTGTCTTACGATAATTATCGGAATATTCCGGAGCACTTGCTGTACGACTCAGAGTCAGAAGATGACGACACCGAAATGATGGGCAACAAAGATTGGGATCGCTTTGAAACAAACGAGAAAGAATTCGCGAGCCTACCGAAACGAGGCTTCATAATGAAAGATGGCGCAATGGTCACCAAACACGATAGTGTTATCAATGGCAGAAGAAATGCTTGTAAGGTTATGGCATTTCCACCTGAAGTCTGCACAGGGGACGGTGCTGGGTTTGACATGAAGCTATCTAATGCTGTATTTAATCAACTCAGAGAGCATACTAGATGGAATCAAGCTAGGAAGCATAAAATGTTAGACAGAAAGGAAAGCCAAGCAACAGCTGAAATGGGCTTGGATGAAGCAACAAGGCTTATTCTCTTTAAGCTAATCAATAATGGACTTTTGGAGGATATCAATGGTATCATATCTACTGGAAAAGAATCAGTGGTGCTACATGCCAATAGTGATCAATCATATCCAGAGATGATCCTTCCCAAGGAATGTGCAATAAAAGTGTTCAAGACAACACTCAATGAGTTTAAAACACGCGATAAATATATTGAAGCCGACTACAGGTTTAAAGACAGGTTCTCAAAACAGAATCCCCGTAAAATTGTTCATATGTGGGCGGAAAAGGAGATGCATAATATAATGAGACTACAAAAGATCGGTTTAAATTGCCCCGAGATGGTTATTCTGAAGAAGCATGTTCTTGTCATGTCATTCATCGGCAAAGATAGTAGACCAGCTCCAAAACTAAGGGATGTTATACTTAAGCCAGAAAAATGGCAAAGCGTTTACAATGAAGTTGTTGAGGCGATGCATAAGTTGTATAAAGAAGGTCATCTTGTTCATGCCGATCTGTCCGAGTACAATATATTATGGTGGGAGAATAAATGCTGGTTCATCGATGTGTCACAGTCAGTGCAGCCAGATCATCCTCACGGTCTGCAGTTCCTACTGAGGGATTGTCGCAATATTATTAACGTAAGTAAACATTCTAAACAATAATAAGATCTAAAAGTTTTGACTAGTATTCATTTAAATGAAACTAATATTTTCAGATTAATTCACGTACAAATCCAAATATTTCAATCTAAATGCTTTGTCCAATTTCATACTCTAACAGTAATTTTTTTTCTGCAGTTTTTAAATGATAATGAGATATAAACTTTTGGCTAGTATTCATTTAAATTTTAAATGAAACTAATATTTTCAAATTAATTCAGTACAAATCCGAATATTAGTTTCAATCTAAATGCTTTGTCCAATTTCATACTCTAACAGTAATTTTTTTTCTGCAGTTTTTAAATGATAATGAGATATAAACTTTTGGCTAGTATTCATTTAAATTTTAAATGAAACTAATATTTTCAAATTAATTCAGTACAAATCCGAATATTAGTTTCAATCTAAATGCTTTGTCCCATTTCATACTCTTATAAACAGTAATTTATTTTTCTGCAGTTCTTTGAAAAGAAGAATGTTCCGGACATGATAACAGCGGAGGATCTATTCAAGTCCATCACAGGCTTCGAAGAAATTGATGTCAATATGTTAGAGGGTGTTCACACCACATACAACTCGTTGTCATCACGTTTTGAAATCGCTCCCGATGATAATCGGAACATCAGCTATCCGTTCGAGTATTGCTGGCAGAATTCCAGTAAGATTAAAAACAAGGCAGCTGGCAGTGATGAGGATGATGAATTTAGTGAAATGTGGGAGCATTCAATACAAGACAAAGTACTAGATGGTGCTGCAAACTTCGGCAATGAGCTCCCCATTACAATAAATGAAGATGACGATGTAAAAAATGTCAATGAAATTCTAAAAGACAATGATATAGGTTGTAGTGGTGTAGACAAGAAATCTTAAAATTAATTGATTAATATTTTGTTTTGAACTCTGAATAATATTTTGTTGTGTTTTACAACACTGGGAAATCCATATGAATGTTAGAAAGAAAAATACGAAAAAAAAGATGTATGGAAAATAAATTATGAAATGACATATTTTTATTTTATTTTTGAATAACTATAATAACAAAGATCCTTATATGAAGAAGTAAAATAAATATTATTCACTTAACATAGTTTAAACAATATAATTATTAAAAATATTTAATATTAAAAGTATTAAGTAATATTGAAAGTAGTAAGTAATATTGAAAGTAGTGGTATACTTTCAATAATTAGCACTTTATGAAAGACGAAAATTGAATTTATTACATCAATCTGTAATTAATTGTATAGTTTTCGTCTCATAAATATTATTAACAAACAAACTCGTTTGAAAACAGAATAGTAGATAATTCAAAATGTTTTATTACCAATATATTTTATTTTAATAAATCATAAATTAAAACCAATTACAGATAATATTTTACTTAAAAATTGTTCAATTGTTGGATTTCAATATGAATCAAGTTCAGCTACAAAGGAGTTCTAATTCCTCTCAATTATTTCCTAAAGGTAAGTTATGGGCATATAAGTAAGCTTAAAATTAACTATGAATGCTATATTTACTTTTAAATTATGAAACAGCATAAAGCATTAATAAATAAAAAATAAATTTAAACCACAGATTTAGAAATTTAGAAAGAATTTTATCTATCTAATGATAAGGCCTAAAAATAATTTTAATATATTTTTTATTTCCAGATCATAATATTTTGCCAAAAGAGTGTGTCGCCACAGCTGACCTACTGCTTCTTTTAGATAAACTCTGACACGTTCAATGGTCATAGTTATCAGGAAGATGCTAAATTATATAGGATTGCATTGAAAACAAATTCTCCACATTTCAAACTGTGGGATGAAACATTACCTGTATTAAACTTGAAGTAAATAAAAATGGTATAAAAAAATTATTGTGGTACCTACCATCCATTAAAAATTGGATACATGACATTCATGCCACAAGGGAGTTATTTGTTAAGTTAAATAAATATCATGGCGTAAGCAGTCTGTTAACAAGAAACTTAAATCAGAATCCCTTAGAGAATTTTTATTTTTGTAATATTCGAAGTAATGGGATCCATTATGTATCTCCAACTTGCTCAATGCTCAATTTGTTGGAGCATACAAAGCTTTACTTGTAAATAATTTAACTTCGCCACATTCCATTTTCAAACTGTGAACATGACAGTAACAAAATTTTAAAACCTTTAAGTTGCCTTATTAATTCGCAATTAAGAGTAAGAGATACATTAAATGAAAAAATAATCGTGGATTCTTTACTTAATTTGTTGCAAGAAAACGTCAATTTAAGACCCAGCAACATAATCAGCATAGAAACTAAACGCTATGTTGCTGGGTATTTATATAGTACATAAATGTATTAAAAATGTATGTAAAAATTGTAACACATGTTAAATGCAGTTGTTATGCGTAACACCTCCTGCTAATGATAACTATATTTTATTTAGAGATTACTTACACTAAAAAAACCTGTAAGTATCCGTCGGAGGTTGATGATGTTTGTGCAGTCATACAAACACAATTAGGTGAAGAACCACAAACAAAAAATATAAAAGAAAAAATATTCAAAAAGCTGATTTATATTGTGATTTTTCGTTTCTTTCTTGCGAAACTCATAAAAACCTTAAAGGAGTTTTATTAATTATATCATACATTTTATAATAATTCATAGTTGGTGCACCAATGTTAACAGGCTGCTTACTGGAAAGTTTACAAATTGTCCAAATAATGAGGATAATGTTAAAGTCCAAGCGATTACATATTATAATACTCACAAAAAGATAAAAATAAATATTTGAATATATGTTCTGCTTTTAATTTTACTTATTATTTTAAGTGTGCTAAGTAAATAATGTAAATAGAGACAAAAACACCAGAAATTTTTGAACCTATGCACATTATTTATTCTTATTTTCATTTTATTATTAACTTTAATCAACTAAAGACTAAAGTTAATAATAAAATTGAAGTTTGCATTTTCCCTATTAAATTCGAATAACATTAAGCGCCATCTAGCGGTAGCACGTCCTAGCTAGTATATTCAGCGATACCTAGCGTACACGGTTCAAAGTAGTTTTCTAAACTGAAACCCACAGTGGCGCATCTATTTCTAATAGTGTATTATATTCTATGGTTCATAACATTATTGTAATTAAACGAGAGATTCCAATATCTTGTTACTCTGTCTGTTTTTCCAGTATAAGTGTTTCAAGTAATTCCCTCTGCTGCAACGTGAAGTATGTCTTAGAGCCGGCAACCACACTCACTAGAGACGAGGGGTCCATACTACTAGATATTATAATTGACTGGAGTTTTAGTCTCAGATCCATATTGAAGGGAAGAGCTGCATCATTAAAAATAATTAGTATATTCAATTATAAATATTACAAGAGAATAATCATTAAAAACTTATTAGTATACATATATGAATTAAATATATTATAAGGGAATAAAGTAAAAATTATTGGTGATATAGAATAGGAGAAAGTTTGCAGTATTATACATACATTCATACAAACATAAAATTTTATATATACAAAATGAGAGTAATGTAAAATCCATGTTCATTATCACTTATCAGAGTAGTACATGTTAAACTTCTTTTAAACAATCAGTGCATGAATGCACTATGGACAGTTATAGTGATGTCAATAGCTAACTAAACTTTGCAAGTAACCAATTAATAAAACAAACAAACAACATGCCTTTATACATAGCCATCAATTACTAAATCTAACATATATATATATATATATATATATATATATATATATATATATATATATATATATATATATATATATATGTGTGTATCTAATGACAAACTCACCACTGCTATCTTCATCACTAAGTAAATCATGTAACAATTGTTTCAGAGAGTCACTTCTTATTTCCTCTGTGGGTTCAACAAGCAATGCCAACAATATTCTGCTCACTTGAATCCTACAAATAATAATGCATTGAGAAAAGTTTTTCTACATATTCAAATTTAATATGAGATTACTTTTATTTAATATACAGCCACGGGCAAAAGTATTAGGCACCCTACAGTAAGACAAGTTTTAGGGTGTTTTAGCATAGCAAGTGTAAATAAAACTGCATTTATGATTACAATGGTTTATTTTAAGAAAATAATTGATATTTTGTAGGTCCACCTTTTGACTTAATAACCGCAGCCACTCTTTTTGGCATTGACTCTACCAGCCTGAAACATTCTTCTCTTGATATATTTTTCCATTCCTGCTGTAACGCGGCCAATAGAGCTTGTGTATTGCTAATCGAGTGCCTGCGGATATTTTTCTTTAAAATGGACCAAATATGCTCAATCGGGTTGAGGTCTGGTGATTGTGGTGGCCAGTCCAAAAGATCAATATGATTTTCTGCAAACCACTTCATGGTATGCGCGGATTTGTGGCAAGTGGCGTTGTCTTGCTGAAATTTCAGGCCATCGGTGTTTGTATCACCGAAAATTTGCGTTATCGACGTTGCTAGTGCTGTTTCCAGAACTTCAGTGTATTTAACACTATTCATTCGTCCCTCACACAATACCATTTCGCCCACTCCGTCGGCAGCCATGCAGCCCCAGATCATTATTGAGCCTCCACCATGCTTAACAGTGGGAACCACAAATTCTGGGTTGTATTCTTCGCCAACCCTTCGCCTAACATAAGTCACACCGGGTGTTCCAAACACCTATGCCAAACGAAAAAAAACCCATTTATTTTCAAAGTTATTATTTTTCTTGCAGTAACTTATTTTAAAAACATTTATGTGTTTTTATATTGTACATAAAATAAATAACAATACCTCAAAGTTAGATTCCTCTGACCACAGTATGTTGGACCAATCTTCCACTGACCAATCTCTATGTTTGAGTGCCCACTCCAACCGATTTTTCTTATTGTGTTCTGACAGCCACGGCTTCTTCCTTGCTTTACATCCTTTTAATCCAGCTTTAAGAAGTCTTCTTCTCACAGTATAAACACTCACTGAGCTGCCTTTTGCCTCAGATAATGCTGCAGCGAGCTCTAAAGCAGTTTTTTTCCTGTTTTGTAGAGACTGCCTAATCAACAATCGATCTTCCCGTTCAGTAGTAACTTTTCTTCTGCCTGTTCTCGGTCTATTTTCATGGGTGCCAGTCTCTTTGAAGCGATTTATAGCATATTGAACTGTACATCGCGAGCACTTCACTTCTCGGGCTATTTTAACCTGAGACATGCCTTGTTCATGTAAAATCTTAATTCTTAGACGCTGTTCAGCACTAAGTTCAGATTTTTTCGGCATGATTAACACGTTAAATGTTAGTCTTTAGAATTGTGATAGGAATAGTTGCGTAGAAGACGTGTATGTTCACTGCAAGCACTGATAACACACTATAACCAGAAATACAAAAAAAGCAAATTCGAAGAAACACCGCTTAGGAGCACACCTGGATGTCATTAATATTTTCTTTTATCTTAATTTGGTTAAAAATTGCCGCTAATACAATAGCTAACCCATAAAACACACACTTGACCGCTATCTAATGAGATAGTGACTAACAATAGGGGTGCCTAATACTTTTGCACGCAGCTGTATGTTGCATAATATAAAAGATCTATAATATTAACTGATTTAATACAAAATTTAAATGGTTCAAATACATACTCAGTTAATACACCTTCTGGTATATGAATGTTTGATTCACATATTTTATTTGCCATCTCCAAAGCATATTCATATTTTCCTACAAATACAATATTAGATAAAATCATACACAAAAATATGAAAATTCATGAAACTTATATAAATTAGGACTTACTACAATCAATTAGCAAATTTATGATCTTTCGAGAGCACATCAAATTGACGACCCCATTAGTAGCAGTCCCTAAAGCCTGTTCATAATACACGAGGGCTTCTGACTTTAGATCCAGCGAAACTAATTCTTCAGCCAGTTCTAGCAGAATGGAGGTGCGTATCGGTGACTTCTCTGGATATTTACTAAGTGCCTGTGTGTAACAGCCAATTGCTGCCTGAAAAATTAAGATTAATTCATTTTATACAGCTCTTAAACAATCGAGTCTTGTAAAGAATTATCTAAAACAATTACTTCTAAATTTTCCCTATCAGGGCTGTGAAATTTTAGAGCAGCCAATTTTTTTTCAGCCTTCATAAACTGCCTCGCAGCTGATATGTAATGCTCAGCTTCACCGAGCACATTACCAATCGAAGCCTCACATTTAGCGGCCCCTACATACGTTTGACCTGCGAAAGCTGGTTGTTCCGAATGCTCACATTGTATCGCGAGTGCTAAAAACTCATTTGCAGCCTCTGTGATATTAGGTTTTCGCATAAACCTCCTAAAAATAATCATAAACGTTAAAAATATACATATAATAAGGAAATTTCGTATAATTAATCTTACTTTTTTAGTTTTGTGTTGATGTTAATGTATTGTTCATTAAAACTAGCGCTGAGATCGGTCGCCATTTCCAAGAGTTATAATTGTTATACTTTTAATCAGATAAAGCTCATTAATGATCGTGTTGTTTGTGAAATTATAATTTAAAACATTATTTATTAAAATTGATTCCAACTTTTCTATCGATTGTTATGACAGAATCAGTCTGTACTCTGTTATGACAGATGTCAGTATTTATTGTTCAGAATCGCTTCAGAAACTTTACAATTTTAAATAAAAGAGTACATATATATGTATCAATCAAACAGTTTTGTACCTATCGCAACGGATACTTAGATGATTTTTAAAACATCATGAGTTATTTATTTACTACAGAAATGATTTACTAGAATACTTTTATGAAACTGTATATTATTCAATAAATTTTTAAATATTACCAATTAAGACTTAAAATAAAATATAGTTTATATCAGTACCCGCACAATAGTGTTTTTATTATATTCGACAGAATTTACAAAACGTTCTTTAAACTGTAGGTACCTATCTTTTATCATATTGTCAATTGTCAAGTGAATAACGTCAACAATTCTATTGGTTTGACGTGTCCCGATTCCTGTTTCACGATTATTCGGTGTTATTTTACTTTATAAAGCAATGCATTTATTTTATTAATAAACCGATATAGTGGTAAGTTAAGGAAGAAAAACTTGAAACATGGATTTTCTTAAAAGCGGTCTCAAAACAGTCCTCGGGGCTCCGGAGACTGGCCAACAACCATCGGTGGCTGAAACGGTAATAATTTCACATATTTTCAGTCTCAGAACCAATTTGACTTATTTATAAATAAAATCCAAGGATTTATTCGCTGTGTAGGCAGAAAATAGGCGATAAGTTCCATTTGGCACCAAATATTGTATCGTATTATCTTAGTCATGATTAAATTTAATAATTTATTTTTATGTTATATTATTTACAAGACACCTCAATAAAGTAATTTATAAGTTATGTTAGAAATATTGAAAAACCATATTGTTTAAGCAATTTACCTTAACCTTATTTTATATTATTTTATACTGTTAACCATATTATTATTTAAAACAATCCAAAGGAAACAGTAATAATTTTGTTATAAGCAGATATACACGTATACAATATCGAAATTGTAGAAATAAATCTCACTTCGCACTATTAATAACAACAAAAACATGTGGAGTATCATATTGTTTCTTATTTGTAGGTGGAACGTTTGGTAGAAAGAGCAAGTAACTCTACTCTACTAGAAGATCGTAGAGATGCTTGCCGGGCGTTGAAAGCTATGTCGAGGAAGTATAGGCTTGAAGTTGGTGCTCAAGGGTTGGATACTTTGAGACAGGTGAGTCGTTATGAAATGTTTATAGTACAGATTATTCTATCAGTATTAAATAGATATAGAAGGTATAGGCATACCCTGGCTAAAACTGGGAAATTGCCAGATAGAAGAAGGTACAGGAAGTTAAGACGATTCACACTGTAAAAGTATATTTCTATGAACATTAAGTTAGCCTTTTGATAATATAGATATGTTTAAAGATAAGGCAACCAGTTGAGTTGTTTTCCACAAGATAAAGTAGTTACAGAAACTCCAAAAAATCATGATGTTGTTAATATGAGGTATTTGTGCTCATATACATAATATGCAAATGATTGGTTTAATATGAAAACATGAATTTAATGGTGGTTAAGTTTTTTTCTATTTGGATAAATTTTTATATCAATTATTTTATAAATATCATTACCATTATATTTTCCTTGGAGACTAAAAAAAGGATCTACATGTGCCTTTGACATCCTTTTTATTTTGTCCTATATCTTTGTTAAATGGTGAAGGTATCTAAGATTAGGACAGAAAAATATATTGACATAATTAGGTCACATTAATAGATTTAACGAAAATCTTTTGTAAAAGTAATATTTCACTAAAGAGAAAATGTTGTTCAGAGTTTTTGTTAATATTTAGGTCTAACTACAGTGTAATATGTATTTATAGGGATTTATAAAATTTTATCATTTTTAGAGCATTCAAAAGTCAGATGCTATTGTTTTGGAAGGTAGTTCTAACTGAATGTATTGTAATTTCAGATTTTAGAATTAGACAGAGCAGACAACGAAACTGTGAACTATGCATTGGACACTTTAAACAATATCGTGTCCCCGTCTCAGTTTGAGGAAGAAGAAGATAAACCTCACATACCAATGAACATCGGCGACCAGTTCACTGAAATGTTCATCAAAGACCCTCACAATATACAGTTAGTGTTAGATCTCCTCGACGAATATGACTTCCGAGTTAGATTGTCTGCGGTGCAACTTCTAGTGTCCGTACTCACAAACAGAACTAAGGACATACAAGAGATCATTCTAGATAAACCGATGGGCGTCTCCAAAATGATGGACCTCTTGGCAGACACGAGGGAAGTTATACGAAACGAAACACTGTTGTTGTTGATTAAATTGACGAAGGGCAATGCGAATATACAGAAGATTGTGGCCTTCGAGAATGCCTTTGATAGACTGTTCGAGATCGTCTCCAGCGAAGGATACTCAGATGGAGGGATCATCGTGGAAGACTGTCTGTTGTTAATGTTGAATTTATTAAAGAATAACAGCAGTAATATTAATTTTTTCAAAGAGGGTAGTTACATACAGAAGATGTTGCCGATGTTCAACATTCCAGAGAATTCTGAGGAAGTTGGCTGGTCGTCGCAGAAGGTCGTCAACGTCCACTGTATGCTGCAACTAGTGAGGACTTTGGTGTCACCGAGCAATTCTATCCAGATTATATCGAGTTGTCAGAAAATCATGAAAAATGTTGGTCTCTTGGACGCGTTATGTAATATCCTCATGGCGAGTGGAGTACCAGCGGATATACTTACGGAGACCATCAATACTGTGGGTGAAGTAGTCAGAGGTGATGCTACTAACCAGGAGTTCATTGGTAACGTCATCGCACCCTCGTATCCGCCGCGCCCGGCTATTATAGTGCTCTTGATGTCTATGGTCAATGAGAAACAGCCTTTTGCATTGAGGTAAGCTAGCTTGTGAGATAGTTTTGCTTAATTTTCAATTTAAATCATTTTCCATTGCTCCTATTTCTGTTATCGTACCAACATAGTAAATGTTATTAATATTTAACCAGGCTTTTGTGCCCTGACAGTATTGCCATATTAAGTATGATCCACGTTGAACTAAATATTTTTTTCATGGTATAACTTAAAACGAGACTTCACTTACACATCATAGATGCCTTATACAGTCTATAATGCATTCATTATTAATAACTGCTTGTAACATATAATATTTTAATTTAATTTAAGCTACTTAAGAAGTAATTGATAAATCAAATCGATGTTAATCAAAGTTCATTATCAATCTTCAGATGCGCCGTGCTGTACTGTTTCCAATGTTATCTATATCACAACGAGATCAGCCAGTCTAACTTGGTCCAGACGTTACTACCCTCATCTTCAGACGTGTCTAGTCTTACAAGCGGTCAAATCCTATGCGGGGGTCTATTTTCATCGGACGTGTTGTCCAACTGGTTTTCAGCGGTGGCCTTGAAGCACGCCCTCATAGATAACTTGACACAGAAGGAACAAGCGCTTAGAGTGTTACTAGCGACTAATATAGGCAGCACACCGGTATCACTGCTGCATCAATGCACGCTATTATTGCAGCAAACTACTAAACTACAGTCCAAGGTCGGTGCATGAATTCAATAGCTATTAAGTATTTTCGGATTTACTACGCCATTTTTTATTTTTGACTATAAACTACATACTCCCGACGTTTCGGTTACTTTTCAGCAATCGTGATCACGGACAGATGAGATGTGAGTGTCAGAGTATATAATTTATAGTTAAAAAAAAACGCGTAGTACATCCGAAAATATTAGTTTCATTTATAGACAACTAGCTTTCGGCCCGCGCGGAGTTCGGTTATATCGCGTTTCCAAGAGAACCTTTCAAAAGTCTGGGACTAAAAATTATCCTATGTTCTTTTTAAGGTCAACTCTATCTGTACCAAATTTCATTAAAATTAGTTGAGTGGTTTAGGCGTGAAAGCGTAATAGACAGACAGACAGAGTTACTTTCGCATTTATAATATTAGTAGGGATACTATAGTCGATGTATCTGATCCTAAGTATTAATAATATTGTTAGTTCCCAGCCATAGTCGATGTATCCTAAGTATATACGCAGGTAGCGTTGCTCATGTTGCTGTCCACGTGGACGGCGGGCTGTCCCCCGGCCGTGGCAGCCTTCCTGGGGGCGCCGGGCGGGGTGCCGCTGCTGGTGCATCACGCGGGCAGCAACGAACACGACGACAACGAGTGTCTGCTGCAAGGTGAGCGAGGAGCAGAGTAGCTGCCTTTCATCGCCGAAATGTATATATAGATACTAGCTGCACCCCGCGGTGTTACCCTCGAATTTCCGGGATGTAAAATAGCCTATGTGTTATTCGTGGACGTCAGCTTCCTGTATACAAAATTTTATCAAAATCGGTTCAGCCGTTTGAGCGTGAAATAATAACAAACATACACATACTCACAAACTTTCGCAATTATAATATTAGTAGGATATGTATCCATATCATCATCAGCCTATCAGAGTCCACTGCTGAGCAAAGGCCTCTTCTCACATGGAGTAGGTTAGAGCATCACCACGCGCTTGATCAATGCGGTTTGGCGATCTCAAACTTATAATTGTGAAGTTATAAGTCCAGGTTTCCTCACAATGTTTTTCTTCAGCGTCTGTCAGTGAAGTCTAAATACTCTTAGAAAGTACATATGACTCGGACAAAATCCCATTGTCATTGACATCCCATTGTCAGGTTTCGAAACAGCGTCCTCGTGCATGAGAGGCGGACCTTTCACCACTAGGCTACCAAGATAATCTATATACCGAATATAATTTTCGTCAGTTTGTTAGATTGCCCTGGAGAGTCTATAAAACAGGCTGATTTTAAAGGACTTCCATTGAAGCATAGCTGATGTAATGAGTTGTTACTTAGACTTCTTTTGTTGTAGAAGTTGTTATTCCTCCAAGAGTGTTTTTAAAGAGAAGCTCATCCCCACATCCCCGTTCCAGGTCTGTCAGCCTTCCTTCTAGCCATCTGTATCCATTTCAACGACGACTCCGTGGCCTCATACAGCAGGGACGGCCTGAGGCAGCTGCTGGTGAAGAGGATCGGCGTGGAGACGTTCGTGGCCAAGCTGAGCGACGTGAGCCGCCACGAGCTGTACAACAAGGCCGCCAAACACCCGCAGATGAGAGCCGCCTCGCCCGCAGACCTGCTCCTCGACTACGAGTTCTGCAAGCTCTTCAAGAGTCTGGAAGGTACGGAGCATGTGATGACAACTATATATAAAGTGGTCATTAATTGACTCTTACGAACTGACCTTTATTCAAAACCATAGATATCAAAAACTAAACTAAAGATTCAAATACTTGTCACTAGATGTCGCTAGTAGTAGTCTTATCCGAAGACCTAATTAATAATTGTATACCAAAAAAGTGCGAAGTGTTATCTACAATTCCCTGATAAAGCCACACATTGATTACTTAATAGAAATATGGGGATCAGCTTCAAAGTCTAACCTTAAAATCTTACAAATTACGCGGAACAAAATTATAAAAGTACTTTTTCACTATGACTTTTTCACACCGTCGATAGAACTATACAAAAAATCAAAATTACTCAACCTTAATCAAACATATATTTATAACACATGTATTTTATTTAAAAAGATACTATCTAAAAGTATTCATTTAAACGTAACATTTACACAAAAATCAAACAAGCATAACTTAAGAAACAGACATAAACTTGAATTACCTAAAGTCAGAACCTTAAATTATGGACACAAAAATATATGTTTTGATGGAGTAAAACTTTATAATGATTTGCCAAACTAAATAAAAGAATGTAAATGTTTAATTGCTTTTAAAAATAAACTTAAAATATATATACCTATTAGACAATATTAAGTAGTACTAGCCATTCCATGTATCAAATATTAATGTATATATTTAACATTATTTAATCTCTTGTAAGTGAACCTGTGTATGTTCTCATGAGAATAAAGATCTTTAACCATATATATACATCGATGTACCTATAACCCGTACGTGCAGGTCCCCTCATAGAGAGCGTGTGTCAGACGCCGGGCCGCTCGTCCCCGGAGCCGCAGCTGGAGCAGTACAAGTCTCTGATCCGTCAGCAGGACGCGCGCCTGCAGGAGCTCGTGCAGCAGCTGGAGACGGTCACGGCGCATGCGCAACAACTACAGGTCAACGACCTACACATACTATAATACACATATAATTTAGACTATATAGTACTTGACTGTCATTCCAATATTAGTACTTGAAGTAAAGTCGCGAGTAGTGAATTCACTATCTCAGTAACAATCATTCACTTTAACTTAATTAAATAAACAAAGTCAAAACGTCCAAAGAAAATGTTCCAAGTAGTTGGTTATTTAAAAAGAATATAATCGATTAGTATATATATTGCTATTAACTTAATTCCGAAGTATTATTAAAGTTATAGGCGAAAAATTAATAATAGTACGTCATACATATTACAGAGCGCTCTGAACGATTCCCAAGCAGCCAACTCACTGCTTAGAGACGAGAACACATTACTCAAGGCACAGGTAGGGAGCTCTGGTACTGACGGGACTCACGAACACGAGGAGAGGATACGACAACTGACGGAGGAGGTGAGGAGGATGAAGGAGGAGTTGGAGGGAGCGAGGAGGAGCCAGGAGAGGAGCCGCGAGGAGCTGGACAAGATGAGGAGGGACCAGAACGACCTGCTGGAACTACTGGACGACCAGGTGACGGGGTGATCTGCGTGTTGATTAGTACTACATAACTGACGACTGCTGAACGGATATTAATGAAACTTTTATTAAATATACTTTATACATTAGAGTATTATATAATGTGTTCTGAAATTAAGTGTTAGATCTACAGTAATGGAGAAAAGTTGGTTGAAATACATTTATATTAATATACATTAATATACCTTTAAAACCAAAACCCATTCTTACCACACAAGGAACAGATATAAACTAGAAACACCTAAAACTCTAACCAAGTACTGCATTAAAACTATTTCATTTGAAGGAGCACAGCTGTATAAATCTTTGCCTCTAAGTGTTATAAATTCAAATTCTCTAAATATATTTAAAAAACGATTAAGAACCCATATATATGATGATTTCACTCATCTTGTTTGATATCACTACCGTTTATTATTTGTAATCTTAATTGTAGTTATAATTTTAAAATTTCCTTTGTAAGCGAACTTTTTTCTTTTTGGATATAAACTTCTTTAAACCTACATCTTCATCTAACATTTTCAGTTCCATTTATTGTCAAATAATATTATATATGTGTATAATTTCTGTAACTTTATATTTTTTCAGGATGTGAAGTTAAACGAATACAAAATGAGATTAATAAATCTGGGCCAAGCTGTGGATGAAGACAATGTTGTTGAACCCGAAGATAACTTAAGTAGTGTAAATAATAAAATAGTCGACGGAAAAGATTACATTGTGACCCCGCCTTTATAAGGCTCCTACACACACACAGAGAACGATCATCGTTTATGGTTGAAGTTACTGTAATATTATTGTGAATGTTTTGAGGTAAAAGCACCAGTCTTAAACACTAAGATATGAAATTGAAAAATATATTAATTCTCTTGGTCTGTACATGGATTTATAATAAATATTATTCTGCTGCAGGAACCCTTAACATATGTATAAAATACTCATGAAAGTCATGAATCAATATAATATGTCTATTTAATATTGTCCGAAGAACTAAAGGATCAAAAAAGTGCATTTTCAGTTTTTTCGTGTCTATAAAAGGTTCTTAGTATTATTACCTTATCAGCGTTTTCCCTTTTAAGTTTTTTAGAAGAGTTACCCTTTGCACATATTTTTTTCCCAGTAGCAAAATAGCAACACCAAGTTCCTATATCACCTGTCCCTTCGCAGGTGTATAGATCATGAGGCATTAACAGGCATTTGTACGACCCACACATGAACTGATCCCAATACATGACACGATAACTTATAAATAACTTGAACAAAAATTTCTTATGTGGTAGCATCATAACAAAAACCTTAAAAATGCCTTGCATGGCGTGCTCTACGTTACATTGCACGCAAAAAATGACTATTTTGATTTTATGGATAAATAAAGTTTTGTATAGTTACCTCCCCAGGCACAGAGGGCGCTAGGAATGTTTGAACTTTCTTATTTAGAGGATTTTCTCAGAAATGGTTGCCATTATGATAGAAACTTCTAAAAAATGCATTGGAATTAAAACTATTATTTAAAAATTTTGCTTGACTGTTGAACTGGTGCTTTTACCTTAAATCCTTTAATTCATTTATGTATTTATACATAGTTATAAATACATATCTTTGTATTATCAAAGTTTAGAAACGACAAGTCTTCACCGTTATACTTCCTACGTTGTTTCTTTTTTAAGTTTTTGAGTGCACGTTATTGTTTGAAGATTTTATATTAATTAGTTATTTTTTCTAGTCGTAAGATTCAATTCTCTGTATCGTTGCTTTTAATTATCACATAAAAATTTAAGTTGTAATTCAAATTTTTTTTCTCCACTTACAAAATAATAGTTTTAGTAATATACATGTATTGTATCTGAGCCTATAAATATATATAACAGTTCTAGTAAGTTATTTTTATGTACATTAAATATAAATCTGTACAATCTTCTTCATAAAAATTGACAAGAAATTTTGTAAATTATTTGACGATTGCTTTAGTATTAATAAAGTATGTATTGTGACATAATATTGAATTTATTTTGACACAATGGATAATAAAAAGACTTATTTGACTTAAATAATACCATTAAACTATAGAGATAAGGGCAAATAGACATTCAAAGTACTTTATTTGTTTTACATAAATACTGTAATATTTGAATTAATAAGATAAATAAAGATAGTTTTTTTAGTGCTTCTTGTAAAAATCTTAAATTAATTGAAATTTGATCAATGCTTAGACCCAGTTTCACCAATCAATGTTTGTTTAGTCTAATCACAGCATTTACTAATCAAGTTTATAAATGTCTGTTAAAATATTTACGTCCCACGATCACAAATTAACAACGCATTATTAAACGTCATGTCATATGACCGACTACCAAATTATTCGTTCTTGTTATAAGACGTCCAAGTGAAAACTATAGTGTTTAACACGGCACGTTTGCCACGATGCACCACTTTATACTTTGATCGTATATATCCCTCGATACGTCACTTGTAAGCTAATACGATCAAATTTTATATATCGTTGGTTGCATACATTTAGCACACAAAAAGCTTTCTTTTCAATTTACTAGGTGTTACTTGTCAAAATCGTGTCAATAAATTGTGTTATATATTATTGTGTTATAAATATAGACATAAATTGTGTTCAAATTATAAGAAATAAAAAGAAAACTTAATTTGCAATGTCATAGAAAAGCTGGAGGCAAAATCATCATACTAAATGAAATTTTAATTCACTTTATTAATAACTAGCTTTCCGCCCGCGGCTTCGCCCGCGTGGAGTTCGGTTATATCGCGTTTCCAAGAGAACCTTTTCAAAAGTCTGCGATAAAAACTATTCTATGTTCTTTCTCAAGGTCAACTCTATCTTTGTACCAAATTTCATTAAAATCAGTTCAGTGGTTTAGGCGTGAAAGCGTAACAGACAGACAGAGAGAGTTACTTTCGCATTTCTAATATTAGTAATACTTTCAAGTAATGTGACGTTGAATTGAAGTAATGTACTGGGCCAAAGTAACACCATTGTACATGAGTTAACTTTGATGCCTTTTAATATATATTATGGTTTGCAAAAAATAATTAAAAAAATAAAAAAAGCTTATTTATAAGACTATATTAATTAATTAGTTTTACTCCATAACAACGACTTTCATGTGAAGGGGTTTTGAGACGGCCTTGTATGGGGCTTTCAGACTGTGCGGCGACGACGACCGACACCTGATTGCCTATTCGTTTAAAGGAACTTTAGCTTCAAAAGCCAATTTTTTTTAACTTGATACACCTAAAACTTCTAAATATGATGTTCCTAGGTTCAGTGGTTAAAATTTTGTATATATACAAAAAGTTTAGCTTCGTAGTCCCTGTTCCGTTCTGTTCGAATTTCGGGAATTCCGTGTGTAGTGTGTGTGTGTAATTTCACCCCCACGGTGTTAAAAATAACAAACGATTTTAAATTTCAAAAACGCTAGAACAAATGTTTAAATATGTCTTATCAAGTGCTTAAATATAAAGTTTCATGGTTTTATCTTTTAAAATTAAGAAATCCCATACAATCTTTTGTGCGGGATAGCATCAGAGAAATAATATAGAAATAAAATATATAGTTAAAATAAATAGCGATAGAAACTATGTAATATGTAATATAAGAAATAGCGTAAAATTAATGTAAATAAACAGCTAAGTATAGTAAATAAATAATATAGAAAATATGTATAATGTAAAATAAGACACAACTTGTAACTGTGAAATGATCATATACGCAACTACGCTCAACATCGCAAGCTCCTGATTGGGCGAGCGCCGGCGCGCTCGCTCAAACACCGGCAAGGCGCGGTGAGATCACCGCGCAGGTATAAAAGGCCGGCCGACGGGCCGACTCAGCGCAGTCAGTGAGCGGAATTCATCGGAAGAACATCAGTCAGCGGAACTCAAGAACTACGGAAGACTTCAACAGCGAACAGTGAAACGGAAGATTATTAACAGTGTTCAGAATTGTAATTCGTGTAGAAAATAAATAGTGAATAACCGAACCAGCGCATAGTTTTAATGTACAAACCCGTACATTAAATGGTCCTTCGAGCCGGATAGTATAGAAGAATCGGTTATCGAAGAACACGAAGATCGTCAAAGAACACGAAGATCGTCGAAGAAATACGAAGATCGTCGAAGAATGCCGATCACTCGCTCTGAAGGAAAAGGTCGGAAACTGCGATCAGTACAACAATCCTCGTCCGAGGAGACGACCACGGGGACATACGACACGGAGACTACGGAGACAACGCCTTCTACGATGTCATCAACGCCTACCGTAACAGGTGACGGCACCAGTGCCGCCGTCGCCCCACCCCCCGTTATCGCCGCAGTTATCGACGCATCCGCTACCTCGGTGAGAGGCGTTCAGTCAGTGACGCCCTCCGCCGCGCCTACAGTACAAGTGGGATCGAAGATGAAGCCGCCTGCTCGACCTGTCACCAGGGTTGACCCAGCAATCAACCAGGGAGCGGAACCTGGCCTGCCACTGCCGAGCGGCCAGCCGAAACCCCATACACCGAGCAAGAAGGGCTCGACAAGGTCTAAGGCTCATAAAATAGCCAAGGCCAGAGAGGAGATGCTCCGACTACAAGTGGAGCTCGCCGCCGCTCGTCTCGCCTCCTTAGAAACGGAGGACACCGAGGACGAGGAAGACGACGTGACGGTTTACTCTAAGGAGGAAGCAACCGACAAAGTCGACAGCTGGTTGAATAACCAGACCGACAAGCCGACGTTACCCGCAGAGCCTGTGCCAGTAGATGACAGGACGGGACACGAAATACCGGTGCCGAAGCCAGTGGTTCAACAACAATCGACGGAGAGCAAGACAGATATCGCCGTCCTCGCCGAAGCAATCACACGTGCCGTGAGTTCGAGCCACCGACCGAGATTAACGGAACTGCCATACTTTGACGGATCGTATCAACAATGGTTACCGTTCCGTGCCGCATACTATGACAGTCATAGTCACTTCACAGCAGTGGAGAACACAAACCGCCTGAGAAGGGTTCTAAAGGGAAGAGCCAGAGAGGCGGTCGAGGGGCTGCTCATTACGAATACGCAGCCAACGGATATTATGAAGACTCTTGAATCAAGATTCGGGAGACCAGAGACCATCGCCATGATGGAGATGGAGGCATTACGAAGCCTAACCCGCCTCACAGAAACACCACGTGATGTATGTATTTTCGCCACCAAGGTGTCAAACATAGTGGCAACGTTGAAAACGATAGACTGTGTCAACTACTTGTACAACCCAGAAGCCTCAAAAACGGTAGTGGACAAGATGACACCAACGCTGAGATACCGTTACTACGACTACGCAGCGACACAGCCAAAGGAAGAACCGGATCTCATTGTAATGGAAAGATTCCTCAGAAGAGAGGCTGACCTATGCGGGAAGTACGCACAGCCGGAACAAGTCGCGGCTAGTACTCAGAAGAGAACCCAGAAGATTCTCAAACTGTCGGAAAAGCCATACACACCGAAGTGTCCAGTATGTGATACAACGGGGCACCCAGTGAACGAGTGTGAAAAGTTCAAACAATTGGAACTGAACGACAGATGGGAGACGGCTAAGGCCAAGCATCTGTGTTTCAGGTGCCTCCGCTACAGGAACAAAACACACCAATGCCACGCGAAGGCATGTGGTATCAACAATTGCAAGCGTACACATCACAAAATGCTACATAAGATGGAACAAAGGCAAGCGGAGACACCTGAAGTAATAA